CACAGCCGTCCAATCAGCCACGCCGCACTCTGCATGAGGGGAAGGGGGAAATCCTGGACATTTCTACCTTATTAGAAATCCCCCCCCCGGACAGCCATTTAAAGCTAAAAAAGCCGGACATGTCTGGGGAAACCCGGATGGATGGTAACCCTACATTTTCTAGACAACAAAATCTGATAGCCATAGATGAAAAGCAGTGCTGTGTTCCTGCATAGAACAAATGTTACCTGCAGAGTGTGAAACTGAGCTATTTATTGTACATTACTGCCCTCAAAACAGGCATCCACGGGAAATGCTACTATGAAAGAACATTAACACTGTTTTCTTTGCCTGTTTGAACCCGAAAGAGTGAAAGAAGGAAAAAGACATGGAAAATGGGAAGATAAGTATGAGTCAATCCTTTAAGTGGAGCCAACACAACATATGCTTCTGGTTCCCCCCACCCCCATCTATCTAGGGAATAGGGCAGTATTGAGAGTGCAAGCATATTCTGTGAACAATGGTGTGCAATGAAGCAATATCCAGACTGGTAAAAATTAAAGGCTGAATAGTCTGAGTTTTCAACACATTCAATGTTAGTGTAATGGCAACTGCCATTAATTACCGTCTCCATTTTAACTTCAAAATGCAATTTTTCGTCATTATAAACAATTCTTATGACTGTTTTGGACAACACTAACAAACCACGGAGGGTAAAAAACAATTCAGCATGGAAACAGCCATCATGGAGAACTGTCTTTGGAACTTGGCTCTGATTTGACTGAAAGTGCTTGACAACTGCATAAGGATCAGCACATTTTGCAGTACATATTAAGTGTGCCACTAAGTAAGGCTGCCCACGTGCACAGCCAACTGTATAGTAAAATGTACTGAACTGGGGGGAGGGGGGGAAGTGCTGGACCTAGGCTAGAGGGATTTCTAACCTATGAATGCAGTACCTGGGGTTTTAAGGTTCAAGCAAGTACAGCTTGCCCCTTAAGAGCCTGCAGCTGGTTTAAATAATAATTTAGGGTGAGAATTCGCTACTTCGTTAGTACACTGCGTTTTTGTTTATTTGCTAGGTAATCTGCTTTGATCTATTTGCTATCCCTTATAATCACTTAAAATCTATCTTTCTGTAGTTAATAAATGTGGTTTGTAATAAAGCAAAAACAGTGTGTGGGAGTTATAACTTGGAGCAGAAAGCTGTTGCATATTTCCTCTCCACATTGAAGGAGGGGGCGAATTTCATGAGCTTACGCTGTACAGATCTCTGGCCACTACAAGGCAGTATAATTTTGGGTTTACACTCCAAAGGGTGGTGTGCTTTTGAGCAGCTGGGCCGTTCCTTAGCTGTAACCTCCCCATGCAGAGCTGATCACAGCAGCCTGTAAGTACTGCAGCTCGGTATGTCCCTACCTATGTGTATGCTGGTGAAAGAGCAAGCTTGGAGAGCTTGGCAACTTATCACAGCAGCACAGTGTGATAGGGAGCCCAGGCTGGTAGGTCAGGGGGGCTCAGTGGTACCTCAGTTGCAGGTGGCACCCCAGAGGGAACCCGCCCAAAGGTGTAAGTGACAATAGCCTTCAGAAGGTTCAAAGGACCTTAGCCAAGGTGGTAGAATTTGTTTTTTAACTATATATTTTATTGTAATCAGGGGAAGAGTTATTAATCACAGACTACCAGAATTCATATGCACAAAGGGTATATTTAAGGCTGTACATGCAAAAGAAGGTTCCTTACCTGTACTGTAACTGTTGTTCTTCGAGATGTGGATGCAGACATATATTCCATGCCCTTTGACCCAGTCACCTTCCTATGCCTATAAAAGGGCAGCACCAACCTCACCCTCATCAGATCTCTCCCACTGGAATCCCAAGGCTAAAGACTCCGATGCAGAGGGGATGGAGGGTAGGTCGTGGAATACACATCTGTACTCACATCTCAAAGAACAACAGTTACAGAACAGGTAAGTAGCTGTTTTTATTTCTTTGAGTGGTTGCAAACGTGTATTCCACTCAGGTGATTTACAAGCAGTAACTGAAGGAGGTGGGGCTCAGCATCTACCTAAAGAATGACCAAAGGACTGCCTTTCCAAAGTTTGCATCTGATCTAGATGCAGTCGCAATAGCTGCACTGAAGAACAGGTAGCTGCTCTGTACATGTCCAATGTAGAAACGCTGAGGAATGCGACTGAAGCCGCTTGGGCCCTTGTCAAATGAGCTACCAGTTTTTGTGGAGGGATAGACTGAGCTACTCCATATGCTGCTGTAATGTAAGAAGTAATCCATCTGCAGATCGTCTGCGCAGAAACCACCTGACCCTTCACCCAATCCACATAAGACACAAAGAGCCAAGGTGAACAGTGGTTTAGTCCTTTCCAAATAGAATGCCAAACAATCTCACATCCAATCTTTAAAGGTGCTGTTCCTCTGTATTCAAGGGCTGTTTAGGAAAAACTACAGGCGAGTACATAGTTTGTTAAGGTGAAAATGAAATCACTTTAGACAAACATTTCTTACGTGTCCTTAGGGCCAACTTATTCTTGAAAAACTGTATGTACAGAGGTCCTGCCATGAGAAAACCTGTCTTTTGTGAAAGAATGGACAGAGAACAGGTTGTCAAGGGCTCAGATGGATGTCCTGTGAGGGCAGCCAGCACTGAATTATGGTCTCAGAACAGTGCTGTTTATCAGGAAGGAAGAGATCACCACCACCACCTTTAAAAAAAAAAAAAATCTAGCCACAGGGCAGTTATCCAAAGGAAGTCAATTTTGTCTTGGCTGGTGGAACACCGAGATAGCCACTAAGTGGACCCCTGAACGAACTTAGAGACAGACCTGAGGACTTAAAATGCAACAGATAATATATAATCCAAGGAGTCATGAATGAGTGCTGGCCTTGGCCAGATTCCTCGAGCTAGAGACCAAACTGAAACACACTTCTACTTGGCCAAGTATGTACTCGTAGCAGAGAGCTTTCTACTACACTGCTTCTGAGCATTATTCTTCCTCCTCATCTATGTGTTATGGAATGGGATGTAGGTGGTCCAGCCTAGTAGTCATAGCAGGAGTCATGGCTAGTGGGCGGAGCAGATGTCCAGGGTGGGGAATGAAGCCAAGGGTCAGCACCAGAGTCAACTTCCAATCACCAGAGCCAAGGGCAAGCCAGAGTCAAGGTCACAAGTCAGAGGCTGGGGTTGAAGCCAGGACTGGTAACTGATTGGAGATGAGGCAAGAACTGGAGGAGACACAAGGATCAAGCACAGAATAGGAGCATGGTGGGAACAGATGTGAAGAGAGAGGTAAGGCAGGAGCCAGGAGCAGAACAGGAATCAGGAACAGGGTTAGGTGAAAGAGACAGGCACAAGCAGGGTCCAATGCAGCCATAACAGGAAGTCACC